TGGATTGAATTTACTTAAACAAATTTTATGGATATCTAAACATGAAATATCAATACTTAACAATAAAACTGTATGGTATATGAACATTCATTATACCCAGTGACCCCCACTCCACCCCACATTCCACACCTCAGCCGGGAACAGGCCTGCAGCCCAGAGCCCCCCTGGCCCCTGCTCACTGTCCTCGATCACACCTGACTCTCCCCCTGGCCCCTGCTCACACCTGACTCTCCCTCAGGGCAGGGCCTGACCCAGCTCCTCACACACCCCCTCCCCCTCACAGGCTCCCCTCCTTCCCTGAGGCTGCTGGCTGTGCTCCCTTTGTTTTCACCGTTTAGTGGGTGACCTGAGCCTCCCTGCCTGGTGGAGGGGGTCAGGGGTCACACAGAGAGGAGCCCGTCCCCCTCCCCTGGGGCCAGCAGCCCGGGGACCAGGGAGTCTCCACCTGAGCAGTGGGTTGTGCATCTATCTACCCCTGGGCAGAGGTCAGCCCTGCACCTCCACAGCCAGGGCGGGGCCGCCACCAGGGGGCGCCAGAGAGCCACCTGGCAAAGCCACCTGCAGATGGGGTGGGCCTGGCCTCAGGGGCCTTAAGATGGGCCTGGGCCAGAGGGTAAGTAACCTTAACCTCAAACCTAAAGGACAGGTTTACACAGTATCACCCTTGACACTGATGCGCCCATTCCTGGGCCCGTGGCTGGGAAGTCCTGGGCTTCCTGTCCCAGGGCCTGAACTTCCGCTGGTGCTCAGTGAACTGGTCCTGACCTCATTTCTTCGATTAGGTTATTTGATTCCCGAATATAACCCCCAGCGAGACAAGTTATTGGCAAGACGCATTCCCTTAAAGCAGCGGTTCTCAACCTGTGGGTCACGACCTCTTTGGCGGTTGAACGACCCTTTCACAGGGGTCGCCTAAGACCATCCTGCAGATCAGATATTTACATGACGATTCATCACAGTAGCAACATTACAGTGATGACGTAGCAACGAAAATAATTTTATGGTCGGGTCACAACATGAGGAACTGTATTTAAAGGGCCAGAAGGTGGAGAACCGCTGCATAAAGACTTACTCCGCTTGGCAGCTGCCTCTCATTCCCTACACCTCAAATCTTCCTTTTAGCACCTGCCCTGTCCCGGCCCCGACTGCACAATGGGGAAACTGAGGCACCGCACCTGTGATCTGCCTGATGACTCACGGCCCAGGGCGGACACTGACCGCACCAGGAGTGCTTTCAAGAGCTCCATGTGGCCAGTGGCTGAGCATGGAGCTGTGACCTGTCGACCAGGAGGCCACGGTCCAATTCCTATCGGGGCACTGGGACCGGTTGGGGGCTAGATGCCCAGTAGGGGGCATGCAGGAGGCAGCCCGTCTATGTTCCTCTCTCGTCATTGATGTTTCTCTCTCTCTGTGCCTCTCCCTTCCTCTCTCTGAAATCAATAAAAACAGATTTAAATAAAGAAAACTCCATGTGTTGTTGACAAAGGATCAATGTTATTCGGTCTCTGAAACCCAGGTCCTGCGATGAAGCAGGATCTTGCCCCTAAGCGCGTGATGTCACCTGTAGAATTCCTTCAGCCAATGCAGGCACCCTACCCCCCCATCCCCTGTTGTGGCAGATGTCACCCCAGACCATGGGATCTGCAGGGGCTGCCCCTCCCTCCCTGTGTCCCTGGGCTGAGCCCTCCTCAGAAGCCACCAGCTCCCAGCAGCCCCTGGGCCTGGCTGATTTGCATGCCCCGCAGCTGTGTCCAAGGGGATAAGAGGGGCCTGGGAGGAGCCCTGCCTGGGAGGAGCCCTGCAGCCTGGGCCTCAGGGAGCAGAGTCAGGGCGCCCACCATGGCCTGGACCCCTCTCCTCCTCGGCCTCCTGGCTCACTGCACAGGTGCTGCCCGGCCCAGCCCCAGGGCCTGCACCCGCCTGCACCCGCCTGGCTGCCTCTGAGCTCAGGGGTCGCTGCCTGTGGGGCAGGAGGCTCACGCCCTGCTGCTGGATCAGGGCTGGGGGCGGCGCCCCCTGTGCTCAAGGCTCTGAGGGCCTGAGGGCTCCCCTGCGGCAGGTAGGGGGGCTCAGTGCTCAGAGGGTCCATCTCCGGAGCCCCAAGCCACCTTGGACTGATGGGGATCCGAGGGCGCCTGGGTCTTGGGAAACCCTTGGAACTCACGCGGCAGGAGCGCAAGCGGTGCTGAGAAATGGGCCCTCCACCTCCTGCCTCCTTCTCCTTCTGCAGCCGCTGTGGGCTCCGATAAGCTGAC